TGTCAGAATTGCTTACTTTAAATCAGTGGTTTAAAACTGGCGGCCCGCGAAAACATTTAAATTAAATATTTTTTGCTAATACGGTATTGCAAAGATTTCAAGATTTTATTTGAAGTCCGAGATTATTTTATTTTCATAAAAAACGTGAAACACGCAACAGAAAATCTATAAATGGAGCTAATTAATTTATAATGCGATACAAATTTTATTCATAGATTTGAAAGTAGAGATTTAATTAATTTTTCTTCGTACTTGTCAGAAGGTAAATATTCTCAATAACGAAATTTTGCGAAAAGATAATCACTTTGTTTGGTAATGCATTTATAACATATTTATAAATTTTCATTTTTTGTTTGATAATACATTTACAAACGAATAAGGTTTCTTTCACAGTTGAAAATTAATAAGAAAAGAATCCGAATGACAGGTGGGCAGCTACAATCTATGATGAAGTTTATTTTTTGTAATTTCTCAAGATGACAAGCTTTATCAGAATCGAAATGCCATCAAGACTCAATACATAATGGTGTTCATAATTCTATACATGCAAACACATGTATTTTCATTCGAGCGTCGAATACTATAATGAATAAGAGAAAGAGACAATATTACTATTTATTCTCGAGTTTTTTCCTACTTGGCAAATTTTCTGTAAAATCTTCAGAAAGATTTATATTATGTTTATACTTAATTTCAATCAAAGTAAGTCATTTAATGATTCATGAAACATTCGAATTATTTGAAAGACGTAGCAGCTTAAGAATTTCATATTTAGATGTCAGTATATTTTAAGTATAAGAGTTACAAAGAAAATTAATATAAATTTGAAATTTTTCCATTTAAAGTATTATTATTCTTGTTTACGTATGTTTTGATAAATATTTACAACGCAAAATTTAACATTATAAGGTATTTCTACCGCTTTTTTAACATGCCTTCGTGGTGCAATGGCCAGCAATTGCGGCGCGTATTCAAGAGGTCCGTGGTTCAAATCCCGGCGAGGGCATTGCACATTTTTCATGTCTCCTGCTTCTAAATAAGCTAATGACTCTGCAGCATTTACTTAAAATATTTTCCTTTGTTCCTAAAATTTTTCATTTTGTTAAAATTAATAATAATAATACTAATAATACTTCTGGCTCGTCAGCGTTTTCCAAATCGGCATTCGTCCCCTGTGCAATCTGATTTTGAGACCAATAATTTAAAGCATTCTAAGTTGAATTTCGAATAAGAATTACTGCGAAAGAAGATGCTTTTACGTTTAATTTTATAATACGAGTTTAATTTTTTAACAGTATTTTGTATTTAGAGATAATGTCATGAACAGCTTGTGGTCTTTTTATATTCTAAATTGGTTCAGGTCTATTCAGTTTTGTTATTAGAAACATCTCCAGTAGAATCCTCGAAGTGTTTAAGACCAATGAATTATGAGATGTGGTATTTTACCATCCACGTGACTTGATAATTTTTGCCAGTGTGCAAAACTTAACAATTTTAATTTGCATTCCACCTGGCCTCGCAGATAGCCGTCAAGTTAGGTTAGGTTATTTAATTACGGCAAAGCCACTATCTGCCTAAGGGAAGGGATGCCTTCGTGGAGGACTTTCTAAAGGAAACTGGCTCGTATGCACGTTACATATGGGGAAAACCACGAAAACACCCATGCAGCCAGCCCGTTCGCGGGATTCGAACCTCGGACCGAACTACCAGTGTTCAGCGACTTTACCGCTCGGCCGCTGGTGAGCCCGCAGATAGTCGTATTTCAGGGTGATCCTTATAAGCAAACATACCATTTCCAATTTGTTTAAGACCAAAAACATAATTTATTTAAGATTAAGGAAATAAAGATTTTTAATAACTAAATACAACATTTACTTCCTTTAAATAACTCAGTTCGTAACTGCAGATACTAGATTACCTAACAAATGTAAAGCAGTTTATTTTATTTAAATGTTAATTATTTAAAATGTATATACACTTTGTTGAACGGAACTCTGTATTTTTAATTATCCGAGGAACTCATATATCTTTTAATTTCATGTTTTTAGCTTTTGCTTCTATAGATGTGATACAAATTTTAACAATTTTAGAAGCCGGAAGAAAACTAACACTAAAATTACCAGAAAATGGAAAGAAGACTAGAACTGTTATAGAGTATGAACTAGACTAGTACCCAAATGTTTGCTTATGTCTCTTTTTTAGCGAACCTAGCCCACCAGCGGTAGAGCGGTAAAACACTGATAGTTCGGTCCGAGTTTCGAATCCCGCGAACAGGCTGGCAGCATGGGCGTTTTCATGGTTTTTCCCATGTGTAAAGTGCATACGATCCAGTTTCTCTTAGGAAGTCCTCCACGAAGGCATCCCTTCCCTTAGGCAGATAGGGTGTCCGCCGATAACATCGCGGCAAAAACATCGCGGACGAAAACCACCATATTTACCACGATATTTTCGACGACGATGTTTTTAAACTGCGAAGTTGAACCGCTTTATTTTCGACGACGATGTTTTGTACCACGATGTTTTAGAACTGCGATGTTTTCTCGTTGCGATGTTATCTCTCACGATGTTTTGTAGCACGACGTTTTCGCCTTGCGTTGTTTTCTCCGCGACGTTTTCGTCCGCGATGTTTTTGCCGCGATGTTTTCGGCTGTAACCGGCAGATAGCTCTAGTGTGCTTTGCCATAACCAACCAAACCAAACCAAACCATGAACCTTTTGGTCTACAGAGAGTGTTTACACATTTTTAAGACGATTTTGATAAAGAATTTAAACAAAGCACATTTTTGGAGTAAAGATTTTTGACAACAGCTTATTACAAGAAATGAAAAATATCACCTGCTAATTTTAAAGTTATTCTTTCAAAATGTCACATGTAAACAAGGTGTGACTTGAAGGATATGTTTTTGTGCTTTCCAAAGAGAAATATTCCTATTGTATACTTCAAAAAATTTGCTAAATGCATGGTATTACAATTTCTAAGTAGAAAATTGGAAATATTAATAAACGGAAAATCCTGGATCATTACTTTTAAATGAAAAGAAGACTCCAAACGAATACGCGGAAAAGGTACGGACTGTTTCTAATGTTTGTAAAATTAAATCTTGGCCGACAACAAAAAAATCTGCCAACGCTGAGATCAATTGAAGGGTCTTCAGATACACCTGTAGCAGGAATAAATAAAATAATGAGCCTAGATTTACAAATAAAAAACTAATAAAATATAATATTCACCAGATTTTGCTGAGGCATGCGGCTCAATGCAAACACTTTGTAGAGCTCTGTATGAAATGTTTTAGCAGGAGATAAATAGAAATACATTGTGACCGCTGATGAAGTACGGAATTACGCAAATGACTGCAACGAAAAAAGGCCTATTTATTATCGAAAACGAAGAGAAAAAAATGTACAAATCTGGTTTTATCCATGTAAAGACATTTCAGTAAGAGGTTTATGATTGTCGAAGAATTCTTTTACTTTTAAAAATAAGAAGAGTGGACCAAAAATGTTAGAATTAATTCAAGATATAAGGTATTTTCCCCCGCCTTCTTGGCGTGCCTTCGTGGTGTGGTGGTCTGCTCACTGGGCGCGTATTCCAGAGGTCCGTGGTTTAATTCTCGGCGAAGACGTTGCTAATTTTTCATCTTGCCTGCTTCCAAAAGACTCCTAATGTTTCTACAGTGGCGCCCGAACTCAAAAGGTGTTGGATGATGGTTCTCCAGCCAACACCATTTTTTTTTGGCGATTGGGTCTCCTTAAAACCCCAGTTGCCCTTTAAAAGGGGAAGTATATAAGGTATTTCTCCCGCCTTCTTGGTGTGCCTTCGTGGTGTGGTGGTCTGCACGCTAGGCGCGTATTCCAGAGGTTCGTGGTTCGATTCCCGGCGAAGGCGTTGCTAATTTTTCATCTTGCCTGCTTCCAAAAAATCCCTAATGTCTCTACAAAGGTACTATCTGAAAACGTTTTACGTCCCGTATTTGCTGAAGAAACTATTCTTTATCCCAATGACTTTCAAACAGTGAAACTTCAACAAGACAAAGCAACAAATCATACTTTGAAACATACCATTACCTTGCATGAAAAATGGAGAAGGTTATAGGTATTGCGTATATATCTTCTCAACATATTCCTGCAAAGTTCCCTGATGTTTCAGAAATAGACTAGTGTACCTCTGGAATGTTGAAAATACTTATTTGTAAGCTCAAATCCACCACCATTGATGGACGCTGGAAAGTAATACAAAAAAGATGAATATCCCTGGAATATCCCTGGAAATGGATATCCCTGGAAATTTTACGAAAATACCTTCTGTCATGGAAATTACTTTACAGACATATAGCTATCAGCCAAAACATTTACAAAAAATACCCTTTACGTTTTAGAATTAATTAAACAGCCGTGAAATCATTCTAAAGATGTGTAAACACGATCTGTAGCATTATCTTTATTACCTTGATAAATTATTCTTCAGCCCAAATAAATTATTTCAATCCGATTAAATATATAAGTGACTATCTACAATGATACATCAGGAATAAAACCTCCACCAAGGGTTTTAAGGGATGTCTTATTTGTCATCCGCGAGTTCTCAGATATTGTCTTGAAATATCTGAGAAAGCAGCGTCCACATTATGCACGTCCACATAATGCGACATATGTGGACGCGCATTATATGGACGCTGCGTAACGTCCACATAATTGAAACGCAGCGTCCACATAATGTCAAAAGGCACTCGCCTTTTGGACATCTGACTGCAGTGTATGTTAGAGAAGGGTACGCATGCCTGATATTAAGGTAGATAATACTGGTAACATGACTAGACTATATTGACACTTAAAGCTGAATAAAATCACAAAATATAAAATATGGTTGTATGTCTGTCTATATTAAGAAGAAACAGATATGGTTAAGAATTTCCATAGCAGTTAATTCTCTTTTACGTTATCTTTAAAACGTAATTTTTTAATCCAAAGAAAAGAGGTAAAAAAGAAAAATTCCTTACTTAGAGTAATCATATCTTCCAATTTGAAACGAGAGGAAAGATAATTCTACGGCATCTCCAAAATCCCCACCCATAGCGACGAATTCGACTTTGCAGACGAAAGGGAAGTATCTCTGGAACGGCCCAGTCATCCGAATGGGGAATTTCACGCCAGCTTTTCCGGAATAAGTCCTGTTGCAATCTAAAAAGTTAAAGGTAAAACCTTAATGAAACATATTAGTATATTTTTTGAAATTTATACATCAACTAAGAAAAAACTGGTTCATTTTGACATAAACAGTGCATTTTATTACATAAAAAGTGCATTCTTATGAATTTTAGGAAAAATGCTAAAGGATTTCTTTCTTCAAGTATTGATTTGAATGTACTATTTCTTAGATACAAAAATCATGGCGTCTAATTATTTATGGGAATTTTTTTTTTGAATAAACTTCAGTAAACCTACCAAAAATAATTGCCAACATTCATGATTATCATATTTTAACTTGCGTTTTCTAAAACCACCCGGTTCCGCGACAAGTTGCCTAAAATAGTTATCATGGAATAGCAAAAAATATACATAATGATTTTAATGAGTCTAGTTACTGTAATTTCATAATATTTGTAATTAATCATCTCATGATTTAAATGCAATTTTATTTAAATCAATTAATTATATTTGAAGCAGTAGCTGAAAGATATATATCTTACATTTTGCCGAATGGCAGTGATCTAGTTAGTTTGAGATAAAAATGTTTTACTTCGAATGGTGCATTTTTGTTTAAATCATGATAAAAAATAGAACAAATATTCTTAAGAACTGCGTATATTATTTTCGCTTAGTTTGTTACTCGCAATACACATATAAAATTTAAAAAATACCCATATAAACACACCATACTCACAATACATACATAAAAATACTCACAATACACCTATGAAACTTACGCTTTACTGAGTAACATGCTGACTTATGGAAGATAAAAGTATGTTATTTCAAGAAGTCTCAACACATTGCTCTTAAATAACCCAGTTTGTTGATTAAAATTGAAAGGCAAATATATTTCGCTGAATGGCAACAGCTTGCAGTACCTGAGATAAAAATGTTTCATTTCGAACAGTGTCGCCACTGCTTGCTTATCGCTGAGTTTGGTGATAAAAAATTCGTTAAGTTCGTACAAAATATGATATAAATAAAAAAACAAGTTTTAAATTCAAAATTTAGGCTTTGAGGTGTAAATGATGTCGTGGAGGAGTATGTGCATTCAGAATTGCGTGACGTAATATGCCATCGTTTTCCACAATCTTAGGAACATGCACGCAGACAAATTCGTCATTATTAAGTAACAGAGATCGAGATATCGCCTGCTTACAAACAGAATTTTCTTTGGATTTAATCATTTGCTTTGATATAGTGTTGCTATCATCGATAATAGAATAACAATAAAGTTTTGCTGCAAAAGTAGCAACTGAGAAATTTGAAATATTGTATAGAGCAGTGATGGCGATCCTATGGTACGCGTGCCATACTCGGCACGCAAAGCCTCATCAGCCGGCACGCGATTAAAATATGCCGGTGACTGCTGTTGAGTTTTAATACTTTCATTGTTAGATTTCAGATCTAAGCCTTTTGAGGTAGCTTATGAATAATTCTAATTTAATATTTTAAACGGAATGTACAAATATAATTTAAAAACATGCTATTTGATAATATAGCAAAACACGAAAGCTTAGTAGGGAAACCAAGCTTATCCATAGGCGCCCAGCCAAAATAAGCCCAATAAAGCCGAAAAGGGGCTTATGAAATCTAAAGTTTGAAGTTTAGGAAAGAGATGTCGAGGTTAACGATTACTGCTGCCCCGGTCTTGAATAGTCTAACGGTCTTGAACCCTCACAAATGACTCCAGCAAGAAAGGAAAAATTGAACACTGATAGTGTAAGATCATTTTGAGAGACCTGGGCAGAATCATTTGAAGTTATTTAACACTATAGAAAAGCATTATGCACTCTGTGCGGAGAAAGTGCCGCACATCTAGTGTCAGACGGCACTAATACCAATCACAAGATTGTTGCCGAACTTGATGAAGCTGAACGGAAGGTGTTTATTGAAGGGAAATTAAGGAATTATAATTACCAGAAAGTTCGCTTTTGGAACTCTCTTTCTAAAAAAAAATCATCTAACAATAGCCAGCTTTCAAATCGCACTATGCCTGGCAAAACATGGTAAACCGCTCTCCGATGGAAATTTAATCAAAGAGGTTTGGGGCATGTCACCCCTCAAACAAAAAAACGTTTTGGGCACGCGGCTCCCAAAACTCCCCCCACTGGTATAGAGCATGCAAGGATCAAGCATTAACACGATCCAATGTTTTTCATTGGTATTTTTAATTTCTTGACGAACAAAAGACACTGCTAACAAAATTGTTGAGAAATATCTTTAAAAAATTGTTCTTGTTTGTTTCCTCATACTTGCAGAACATAAATTCACTGAACAGAAAAGAGGGCGAATTTCTGTATGCCGTGAACCAAGTGGCAGACATCAATCACGATTTTCAAATAAATTGTGGCTGAAGATGAAATTAGGTGCTTTGAATCCTGAAATGAAATGATAATGTTTGCAGTACATCTTAAGAATGTTCATGGTTGCCCTAAAAATTTCGGTTTGAAAAGTCTCGGAATAAAGATCATGATAGTGGCTTTTTTATTAGAAAGGAATGATTTACAAGGAAGATTTTCTTCAAGGATAGATTATAAATTCTATGTTTTTTTAAAACATGCAATGTACAGACACCTGAAGAGCCTTAGGCTTGAACTTTCAGCTGATTAATTTCTATAATTCAGCTTATGGTTTCTGCTATAAGAAAATGCTCTGTTGCACGAATCTCCTCCCGTCGAGCAGTTTGCAACAAATAAATTCGTCATAATTCTCGACCAAACCCCTTGTTCACCAGAATTGGAGCTTGCAGATTACTTTTCCTCTGCTAAAGTGAAATCTCATCTTTCAGCTTATTACTCTAACGGTACTAAACCATAAATAGACATTTGAATAGTATTCCAAAACTTGAGCTCTGCCACGGTCGTAGACAGATAAGGTTATGCTGTTTCAACCTCTTTTTGAAGCTCAAGTCAGTGACATCACCACACCACAAATTTCAAGCATAGTCAGTTCGTTCATTGATTGCAGAACCACATACGCAACGTGTTGGTTCCGGTACAAATGAAACGTGGCTTCACGAGTCCATAACATCGACATCACCACGCTGGTTGACGTTGGTCGAGAAGAGCAAACCTTGTAACAGAAGAAGAGCAAACCTTCCAGTTTTACAAAGGAATCAGCGAATTCCATAAACGTACCAAATGCTGTATGGGCTTACAATTATTACTGCAAGTTTCGGTTTTTACGAACTGCGTCCTAAATACTTTGTAGACGCAATGTGTGTATCAAAGTTTGTAGAACTGAAGCTCAGAACAATAAAACGAAAAATTAATGCGACAATATTGGTGAGAAAATGCATAAGGAATATTTAAATAAAATTTTTCTTACGCTTTAAATAGGAACATACTTATAATAAATAGTCCTGAAATTGGGCAAAAATATGCAAAAATATTCCAGATTGAATATTTCGGTACTTTCCCATGATTTTTAATCTTAAAATCATGACTTTTAATTTCATAAAGTGTTAAAGTTTTAAGTAAATTAATATTTAAGCAGAAGACATGAAAAGTGAGCAATGCCGTCGCCGGGACTTGAACCTCGGATCTCTCGAATACTTTCTGAGTGTGAAGACTATTACACCACGAAGACATACTAAGAAGGCGGGAGAAATACTTTATATACTCCCACTTTTAAAGGAATACTACGGATTAGGAGACTCAATCGCCAAATCCTGGTAGTGAAGAATCATCATTCACCACCTTTTCAGTTCGGGCGCCACTGTAGAGTAATTATGATTTTTTTTTTTTTTTTTTTTGAAGACATGAAAAATAAGCAATGCCCTCGTCGGGACTCGAAGCACGGACCTCTGGAATACTCCCAGCGTGCTGACCATTACAATACGAAGGCACGCTAAGAAGCCGAGGGAAATACCTTATATATTCCCCCTTTTAAGGGACGACTGGAGATTAGAGGACCCAATCGCCAAATCATCATCCACCACATTTATTAGTTCAAATGCCACTTTAAAAACTTTTTTTTTTTTTTTTTTTTTTTTTTTTTTTTTTAATGTGAAAATGGCCTCGCCGGGACTCTAACCATGGATCTCTCGAATACGCGCCTAGCATGCTGACCATTACACCATGAAGGCATACTAAAAAGACCGGAGAAATACCTTATAGTTTTGGTTTAGGCAGAAAAATTCCTTCACCTTCACATTTTATCAAAATGGTGATGCAATAAGCAGACATGTACTAAGAAAGGAGAGGTTAATCAAGAGGATGATGTTGACATGCAGAGAAAGAAAGTTATATGGAAGGAAGCTGATGAAAAATTGAAGATTTTCATAAGATTTGCTAAGAAATATTCATTTACGTTAGTACTTAACGCTATGAAGCTTGTTATTATACACGGCGTTTTTTTTTTTAATTATGGAGACTCTATTATAGTAAGCATGCAGATATGTTATTAAAATGTTATTTTATCTTTCTGACGTATAAATTCATATGAACATATTTGAATTTTAAATATGATTTTTGATATTATATATTTAATTGTAGATTACAGACTAAAAGTACAACCGACGGACTCACATGGTGCAATTTCTACATAAAGCGTCTCAAAGTATGAATAGGTAGGTTCTAGAAATATCAAGAAAATGAGTTACCCAGAAAATTCAAGAAATGTATCCAGAAAATTCAATTATCAGTTATATAGCGGAGAGGTCCTGTTGGCTGCCGGTTAGTTTTGGTTTTACTTTTTTTTTTTTTTTTCCAATTATGACATAGCACTCGAGGGTTATCTGCCTAACAAAAGGGATGCCTTCCTCCTCGTATATACGTTACACATTAGAAAAATCACGCAAAGCGTCCATTCAGCTATCTATTTCACTCACAATCGAACTCTAGACTGAACTATCAGTGCTCAGCGACTTTACCTTTAGTCCGCTGGTGGGCTGTCAGTCAAAAGGTACATATTTGTAGTACGTGTTTGTTCATCAACGTAACGAAGGGAATTATTCAAATAATTACGTAATTCTACATTTATAT